CCGCTGGCGTACGCTGGAAGCGCTACGCTACGCTGCCGCAAAGTATAAACGCAGCCTAACAGTCCTTAACTATGCCTCCAAGTCCCTTTCGAGTTTCCAAAAGCAACACGGAGCGGCTATTCGGAGTTTAACTTTATTCGAAAACTTGATCTACGCCAATAATTTTGGGCTGGGTATGACCTACCCCGCCGTTGTACCTTCCTCATTGGCGCTCCTCTCCTCTTTACAGCAAAGTGCAGCGCACCAATAGGAAAAGCACATGACAGCCTTGGCTCCGCCTAAGCGACGAGTGTGGAATGTTGATCAATGTCTGTGACCGAGATAGTAAAAACAGAACCTTAGGCTATCGATTCTGATCAAATTGTATTTTGTGGGAGTGAGAAATAGCAATATAAACCAAAACTATTAAAAAAGTCAGTTATTGAAACGCGAGACAGCCATTTTCTAGAGCAGAGTGGTCGGGTACCTCCGCCCAAACGGTTAGTGTGCAATGGTGTGCTCCTAACCGTGGAAGCGCTCGAGCATGTTTTTATAAGGCCCTGTTTCAAGGACCTATTAGGTGCTGAGGTTTGGGCACACGGGATAGAGCGTCACCAACATTTCAGTGGCTCTCCATCCCGTGCACGTGCCAGCCAGGACACGTGCTTTGGGGATCTCCAGCGATAGGGCTTGCATCTGGCCGCTCGAGGAAAGAGGGTCATTTTTGCCTTCAAGAAAAAGTTTCCGGATTCTCACGATTTTTCATGCTTCAAGTGCACTCTACTCCCCTATTCCCTTCCCCCCCCCCCCCGCTGAACGACACTTTTTTACTAGAAAAGGGCGGAAAGCTGATAGGATTTCTGAAATAAAGTGTAAAAGGAGTGGTGTCAAAGGGAAAAAGCTCAAGGAGGAAGGGGTTAGTTTAAAAAAATAAAAAAAGTTTTTCCCAACGGCAGAACGTGCCGTGGTGCTAGCTCTCATTGGCTGGTCATGCCACAGTAAACCCCACTGTATTACTGAAATTTAAGCCTTGACTAGTCGATTTGGCAACTTTTTTCCAATTATTTTTTTCTTTTCTCCGAAATTTCCAATTTGTACGTGGAAGTGCTATTTAGTCACGAATTTCCATCCTGATGATTGGCTTCACTTTTGCATACGGGTCGATGTTTGCCAAGGTATGGATAGTGCATCGAATGAGTGCCAGTGAAAATCAACAACTTGCTAGCCGACAAAAGGACGAGGTACGGTAGACGTGAGCTCATTTACGAACTGACTAACAACGTTTACAATTTTTGTTGTTCTTGCTTTATTAATTTTAACTAAATTTTCTCATCACTTGTTGCTGTCGTTCGCTACATGTTTACACATGCTGGCTTAATTATTCTTCTTTGCTGACCGTTTAGCCTATACAGTATCATCCGTATTACAGTAACTATACTGATTTCCAGTACAAACCATTACTGAGCACTCATGAGGACAAGGTAAGAGTATTAGTTCGCTGCAAGCATCTACAAGCCATAGAAAGCAACAATTTCAATGCATTTCGTAGTATTTGTGGCCACTTAGCAACCTCAGTATGCATTAGAATCGAACAACGCAAAAAAGCCAAAAAATATGATATTAATTTAATTCAACTGTTATCAATGCTTGATGAAATATTCAGGTACTCGAGAATTATTTCAAAAGCACATTTCAGCACGATTCCTCTTCTGGAGGGAAAAAAATGTTCGGAAGTTTGCCGATAAGGATATTCCGTTACCGATGGGCTGTGGGTGCAATACGCGAGCCTCTTTCTCCGGCTCCAAAGTGTAGCGGGAACGTAATGATGGTCCAGCGCACTTCGTCGTTGAATCCTCAGTAAAGGGGCTCCGTAGCGGGCAGAAAAGGAAAAAGTACTGTTTACCCTCGATGGAGGTGCTTTCACCTGTGTCTCTCGCTTCTCAGTTTCCCCGTCAGTGTCTCATTCCCCCCTCCTCCCTCCGACGTTAGCTTTATAGAGAGGCTTTGGTAAAGTGATAGCAAGTGATGAGAATTGAGGTCTATGGTAGGTGGAGCTGGGTATGTGAAAAGCGGGGGGGGGGGGCGTGTATTGCAGGATAACATTTCGAGTAGGGGCAAGTTCACAGATCATCCTCTTGGCAGGAGCGCCCCATCCCAAGTTGCGCGTTCTTGACTCCGCTCGACCGCAGCGTCACCGCTAAGCCACACGCACCACTTGTCTTCACCCTCTCCTATCTCTACCTTAACTGCTTGTCGCTACGATTTTGCTATCAAGCGCAAGAGGGGCCTTACCTCGAGGATAGCGCAAGTAGAGTCGCGGAGACTGGCACCAGATAGTCAGCACTGGTCCAGCCCGTTCCGGTGACACTCTTGATCGGAGAAAGTGGACGGTAATAGCGTCCAATACCGTGCGCCTCGCACATGCAAGGGCCGTTTCCGCGATATCTGACCATTACAGTTCGTCTGCAAGAAGACGTGAATGCTGGAATTAACGACTTAGCCGCACCTATACGATAATCATGGGCTGCGTGTGGGTTCTCAGGCAGTTTTTTGCCTCACCCATATGATCAGCCGAGATTGTGTCGCCTTTGACGTCAAGACGTCGCTTGTGAAGAGGATAATTATAGCTCGCCGATCGTGTCTTTGCATCTAATTGCTGAGAAAATTTCGAAAGTATCAAGCCTCGGGTATGTGAATATTCTATCATCTTACGAGATTATTTGAATCAAAACTTTTTGCGGATTTCCTATGGAGTTGTTCTGTTCTGACGTATATCACTTATCCTTCCTTGTGACATTATCATCGAACATCATTTTCCCTCCGTGAAATCATCGTTTCATTCCTTATATTCTTTCCTACGCCAATTTCGTGCTTATGATATGATCGTTCACGATGGCGCACGATTCGTGATCAATCATCCGCTTATTGTGTTTCCCTCATACCACACACAAGCACGGACATACGCGGATCACTTTTACCTATTGATATTTATGCTCTACTTACCTCACATACATACCCTCAGTATACACATCTATTCCTACAGTAACATGTGATGATCATCGTTTTTCATGTATTGTATGGGTCGAGTTAGTCGCAGTGTTGTACCTAGCCGGGGTTATTGTAGGAGGATGGTTCGCCATGGGAAAGTATACGAATGCTGATCGCATCCGTTGTCGGACGTCAAGCGTATGTGGCAGCAGCACTACGCAAAGTGTCCAGTAATGCTTATGGCACGTTAGCCGTCTCAAGACGTATCAACACTCTCAATCAGGTCACCCATCACACGCCCATAAACACTAGACCAATCGTCGTCAGCGCCCAACGCTACAAATAGCTTACTTTCCCACTGTGTTCCCATATACCGTAATGCTGTACACTGACGACGATTAGGGTGTTCGCGGTGCGTTGTTGTGCTTCTGGAGTGTCTCTGAATACGTCTTCTGTCAGCGTTACTCTTGAGCTATAGTGCTGTCCATGAGGCCGATGAGAGTACCTCGTCAATGATTGCGTTCTACCTATGTTAAAGGCATAGTCGACGGCGGATAGAAGGCGGCGAAACTTCTGTCAGCGTCATTGGTGTAAGGTATTCGCTAGTGCGTCATTTGGTGGGGAGGCGGTCAAGACAATCGTAATTTGCCGCTCAATCGCGCGCGGCGTTTTGGCTGCAGTCGTCCGGGCAGTTGATTAGGCGGTCGAGAGTTGCAGACGCAGCTGCAGCAGCGACCGCGTCCCCTAGGAACAGTCGGCGGCGATCAGCTATTTCCATCCTGGTTTAGCCATTTCTCCTTATTTTCGCTGTATTTTCCAGTGAAGAAGTGAAAAATAGGGAGAAAGTGACCTAGGCAGGTCCGGAAACAGCTGTT